CAATCAAAGCATATGAGTCTTTGGAAGTGTTGGTTGTGTTATTTGCAGCGCAACAACTGGAGTTCATCGTCATTCCTTTACGATTAGTTGTGCCACAGACAGAATAGAGCTGCTCTACCTTTGGCTGATCTCTGCAAAACGGAGTTGGCTATCCCTAACTAGTGCAGTGATCTGCCCCCTTCCCGCCAAAAACTCGTTGTTCCAACGCGGGAAACCCGGCAGATTTAAACGTGCCCGGGTTTATGAAACTGGGCAGCCCCCCTGAGATACCCCTTGCAGCAAGGCTTCGAGTTTCACAGAAAGTGCATTTTTGGAGGTTGAAGAACGATTTTTATCGTTGTAAGCACTATAAACACTTGGTTATCAGTTTTAATAATCTGTCCTTCTGACACATACGACCATAGACTGGGAAGAACTGGCATCCCGTCCGCTCTGCCGTACATAAATTCCAGATCGGTAGATTAGTAGTTGAGTGGGTGACCACCAGCGAACACCTACTGTTGTATGTTTTTTTGCTTTTGTTGCCGCGATGAATCTTGCCGTCTTTGTTTATCCTCTAGGAATGTTCCTGTGTTTTGTTAATGAACTAGATGATCTTTAGATTTAGTGTGATGGTCACCAAGTCGATATAGCCTCCTTGAGGCCTTCAAGCTTACCTGGTCAAGGCTATCACACATACTTTACTCGGTGGAGAGTACCTCTCGCAGCTGCGACTTCGTGCTTCAGTCTTCCTCAACTCTGCCCTTTTTTGTGCATCTAGCTACGGGTTATAGGTTCTCGAGTAAGAATATCAACAACCATTATTCAATCCGGAATGGTGTAATGGTTAGCATTTCTGCCTCTCAACTGTCTCACAACAGTGGCGTTCGCAGGAGATCGGGGTTCAATTCCCCGTTCCGGAACTCATCGAACAACATTTTTTTTTTCGCAACTTTCGTCTGTATCAAGCTCAAGGGATTCTCGGTGTCGTGTATGTTTGTGTTAATGAACGTGTGCTATAGAGAATACTTACGTCGACCTTTAGCTTTTCTCGCTTACGCCCCTGAATCACTGTGTACATCAAAACGTCATAAGCTGAGGGTCCAGAGCTTCGAAAAAGAGCGTATATTGACGCCACTGGAGATATATGTTGAGTGAGAGATCATATCGACCGTGTGAGAGAGCGGAATTAACAAAGATCGAAAGATACAGAATGTTGTTGCATTCTCAGAATCCCAAGCGCGGGGTAAGTGCGGGGTAATTGTCACTATATTGGATTTATAATTAGTAGCAGATTCCATTCTCTTCATAACTGAGAGCAACGTCTGGTTATGCCATAGTTCTTAGTCCCCTCACCTTATCAATCCTCCCGTCTCTGATCCAGATCACACGCCCCGAGTTGTCGAGAGATGGGACACCCAGTCTGTGTGAGATGGCAATAACGGTATGTCCTTTAGCTATGAACTCCTTCCGAATTATATCTTGCATAACATCATCCGTTGCTGGATCCAGAGATGATGTGGCTTCATCCAGGAGAAGGATACGTTTAGGTTGACGAGTATCGGCAGTAATCAGTACTTCATCCGAATACCCCGTCTGGACTTGTGTCCGCAGGATCGCACGAGCCAACGAAAGAAGCTGCATTTGACCGGTGGATAGCACAGGAAACTCAGAGAGCTGCAGATTTAAGGTTTTCGAGACTACTTCCTCCGCGTTATCACTCTGGGGAAGAGACAAGTTTTGCTGGTGCCTGGCATGTGCGGCAAAGTGTTGCCAGAGATGTGTCTTCTCTAGCGCATCGATGATGGTCTTGTCGTCTAGAGCCTCTGAAGGATCTAAGTTGGAGCGAAGACTGGCATTGATGAATACAAAAGGATCTTGCGGAACGGTGATGAAACACTGCTGGCGCAAGATTGATCGTGGGACGTGAGATATGTCTATGCCATCGATTTTGATTGAACCAGCCTGAGCATCGAGCAAGTGGAGGAGTGTCAGAAGGATTGTACTCTTGCCGCTGAATGGGAAAGGATTAGTCGCAAGATTAATGGAGGCAAATCGAAAATGAGGAAAACCCACCTTCCTGTTCTTCCGCATATGAGTAACTTTTGACCCGCTGGAATATCCATACTGAGGCTCTCGAGGGCAACCGCGTTTGGACTAGACTGTCAGTACTGTCCTATTGACCTGAAATAGAGGGCTGCATGCTTATTTGTACGATACGGTCACATTCTCGACTTCGATCAAACCCTTCGAGGGCCAGTTGGTGGGCGGTACAAATGTTTCCCAAAGCTTGTTCTCCCGAGGTGTTTCGTTGATCGTCGATCTCAATCTGGAAATAGCGCCGAGTGAAATCTCCAAGCTCGTCCAATTATCGACAAGTTTAAGCAGCGTCGAATTGGCAACAAGAATCAAGTTCAGAGCAACACCAACGGCCGCGCCGCTAGTCGAGCTTCGGAAATAAACGGCGACGGCAATGACACACGTTGCTACACCAGCTATCAAGAGATCCAAAACGATATTAAGCCATCTCTGGAGACAAAGAAGGATGTAATAAGGTTTCTGCGACTCGTCCATGCGCCGGATATTCTCCTGTTCGAATTCATGTTGCCAGCCGAAAGCTCGGATGGTAGCGGCTCCTTCCACCTAAGGCGCGTGAGATCAATCGACTAGACCATAAAGTGTAGGATAGCATACCGTTTCTAGGAAGCTCGAATACACTGCTGATCGGGACTCAAGCTCAATGAACCGAAGTTGCCTAGAGGTACGCAAGTAAATCCTCTGGACGACGTAGACTATAGCCGAGCAGAACGGCAGCGTGAGGATCATAGCTCTCTGGAGACTAAAGAGGAGTATTGCTTGCATCGCCAGCTTGAAAACTTCTGTTCTTGTAATTAGCATTCTTTTCTGACAAACAGGCAAAAGCACTTGCGAACGAAGATCGACTGAAGCGCCGATGGTAATACATTGTCGACCAACTGAATATCCTGGCCGAATCTGCACGGGAGTCAGTGGCTAAATCTCTCGTTGGCATCCATAGCCTTACCGATTGAGCATGACACCGATATCAGTCTCTGAGTAGTATGAGAGTGGCGCCCTGTGTCTAAAATCAGCAGTCTAACAGTGATATAATAAGTCACTGACCGACCCGATGATTGCTGTCAAGAGCCTGTCATGAAGCACAGGTCCAGATTGAGACGCAATGACAATAACGGTCATCCTAAACCAGTCAATAAATGCAGATTCAAACGAGGAACTTTATTTTCGTACCATGCCTGCAGACTTGTTGCCAACCACGCTATAAATGCGATGATAAGGTATCCTGCTATGTAAGCCCATGTCTGGCTGAGTGGAGATTCGGTCCACCACTTCAGCCAAAATTGAGAAAAGGTGAAAAAGAATGCATATGACCCAGCCAAGCACATCAATACCAGCACATTGAACTTTCCGATAGACTTGAAGTAGTACTCTATGTTATTGTCAGTTGTGTATTCGTAATGCCGGGAACGATGTTGAGATCCTACCATAAAGTGCAAAGTCTCCAGTCTTTCTGGCCAAGTCTTCTGTGGCATCTTGGTTCAGCATCACCTGAGCTTTCATGTTCACGGAACCCATCTCCCTGGGTACATTATTTCTGGTTTTTGACCCGGCCATCTGGACTTTGGCGATTTGACTTAGCTCGCTTTTCAGCTCATCCCACGTGCCCCGCGCTTGGATTCTTCTGTTCTCAAGGACAATAATCTCATCTGCTAGATGGAAATATTGAGCTTGCATGTGTAAGCTGTAGTATCCGACAATCGTACAAAGATCCTCTTACTCACCGGAGTTGATGATAAGAAATACAGTGGTTCCAAGTTTCCTAAAAAGACCTTCAGGACCGAGCAATCTATCGACAACATGGCTTTCGGTCTTTCCATCAAGGGCACTGAAGGGGTCATCAAGAATTACAGATCAGGTCGTGCATAGACAGCGCGAGCAAGAGCCTTTCACTGTCGTCAATAATTGGATGTACGCTCATCGGAATGACTCGAACTCACAAGCCGCTGTCGCTGACCCCCGGAAAGGTTCAACCCTCGGCTCCCGATCTGGGTCGAGTTTCCCTCTAGCATATTTGCGAAGTCATTGCGGAGGCCGCAGGCATCAACAATCGTTTCGTACCATCGATCGTCATCGTCGTGAATTGGTGAGCTTCCACGTATCACGTCCTTGATAGTTATGCTCGGTAGCCATGGAACTTGAGAACATAAACCGCCCCGTCTGATAGAAATGGAAATCGTCCCACCCGACGGGCTAACCTCTCCCAAAATCGCTCTAGCAAGCGTAGTTTTGCCTGCACCTACTCGTCCGGAGCACATGACAATAGCCCCCTTTCCTATCTTGAGGTCGACATCTTGAAAGATAGGAGGCAATTTGTGATCTGGTTGAATGGTGACGCGCTGGAGAAGCACTGCTGGGCCTTGATCATCTATGAAATGGCTGGCACTACCACCTGGAAAGACCTGTCTCTGGTCACTTCTGGAAGATTCAAGCAGATACCTCTGCACTCGCTCGAAGTTGGCCAAAGAGGCCACTGCTCGAGGTATGATTGTCATGACCATATTGGCTGGATGCGTGACCATAGATAATAGAGCTGTCGTCGTGAAGACAGTCTCTGTATCGAGACCTTTCTGATACTTGTACATCACCACCATTGCAGAAAGTACCAACGTGACAACAGGAGCGAATATTCCCAACGCATTTGCTGGACGGGCCATTAAAATAGCTGGGAAGTAATCAAAAGCGAACTCACCGCTCGCATTGTAAGCAACCATCATCCACCTCAACTTTTTCGATGTCTGAATTTCCTCATTTCGGAGAGCAGTGACTTTCGACTTCATTTCACCAGTCAGACCAAGCATCTTCATGCTCTTGGCGGAATTCAACATGGTGGTGATCATGGCAAGTCGCTTCTGTGTCGCAACATTCCAAGCCTTCTGTCTGCTTCGAAGATGATTCGCAACATACTTACTCATTCTAGAACAGACTGCCTGATGTCAAATTTCCGGCTTTGTGCGTCAGTCTGATAAGATACTTACAGAATATGATGACTAGTGGCACAGGAGACAACCAGCCAATTTGTCTGGTCAGCAGCGCTGTCCCGACCACAACTTCAAGAAACTGCGCCCAAGTCTCGTGAAACATCTCTCCCACCGAATCGATGCTCTCTACGTCGGAATTTAACAAGGTCACGGCATTCCCATCTTCGTGCTTGCCGCTTTCGACCTCGAGCGATCTGTGATATATCAAAGCCACGAGTGAGCCTCTGATACTGACTTTCAGCCTGTTTAGACAATGCTGGTATGACGCCGTGGAAATCTTGGATACAGGTGAGCAATTTCTTATGCCTCGTGTAGGGGAAACTTACCCCCAGACCAACATAAATGAACGACGCAGCAAGAACATGCCAATGGCCATCATTTCGATCCGTGCTCGGACTCTTGATGAAGCGAATACTGAGACTGATTAAGATTGTCTGCGAATACCTGAATATGATGAGAAAGATGCGGGGTACAATGGCAGCCACGAAAGGGTCCGACAAGCAGTGAAGTAACACCAAAGGCAACGTTCTGATGCTCTCGGGCTTAGCTATTGATCATTAGCCTAGAGTTAGAGAAGTCGACTTAAACAATCTCAGTACTCCTCTGATCCCATGATAGCAATATCTTTCTTCGCAAAGTCTCCGAAGACAGCGTACATTCCACGTTCGGAAGGTCCGCATGGTCGAGAATCTTTCCATGCCCTTTCTGAAGAATTGGATTGATCCACAAAAAGAAAGTCTTGCCAATAATGCTTGAAGTTTCTTCAGGAGATAATCCTTGGTACTGCGATTTCAGAATTGTTCCATTCTCTTTGGACTCGCTGACTAGAAGAACAAGTTCCACACAAA